TTGAAAGGTAGGGAGGTTTTATGCCAATTACCCAATAATTTTTTATTTTTCACTTATCCTCCTAAACAATGTTGATACATAACTCGTGACTCCTAAACTTTCATGATAATGATTTGTAACTACTAAGATTAATATCATGAACTCTTAAATGAATGAAAAAGTCATTGCCTTCAAAATTATTATAAGTTAAAATGTAAATTAAGCACAAATATATTTATATATATATATATATAACATCGATATTCAAATAGATTTCTAGATTTCTATCAATCACTCTACAACAATGTTCATATAAAACTATATACACAAAATTTGGAATGCAATTTTCAATATTAGCCCCCATTTGGCTCTTATTAGATTTCATTTCATTTCTCTCTCTCATATTTTCAACAACACAATCTTTCATAAAATAATATTAAATATAAATCGAAAATTCTTCCTTTTTTTTCAACCGCTTATTTTTAAAAGAAGCACCATTTCACCCATTTTCATTTCAAAAAAATGGGGCCAAATGGGGGCTTATAGTCATGAACTGTTTGTTAGAATATTTTGTGCGTGCTAGTATTAGGGTTTTCAAATTATTGCCAATGGGAATTGGATTCAAATTGGAGGAATTTATGCATACTTCCTTCTTGATATTGTGCTTCCTCACCAAGATCGAGTTGGAAATCCGCCTAGGTTATTCAGTCTCTGATTAAGCCATTGGCTACTAGCCTATTCACCTTTTCTTTCAACTCCAGTACCGTTCTAGTTGAAGAGCCTCCTCTTTTGCCTATGAAATCGGATCTTTGGGTCGATCCTCAAAGATTGGCAACACATTTTTGGATCAAAGCTAACCATATATTTATGTTCCATATGAATACATCCAAATTTCAACACAAATTTTTTTGAAGGCAACCTTCGCATTAGATTTTTCCAATTTGGAGCACTACCGTGGGATCTTCACAATCTGTCGGCATCTTTTCAAGTGCCTCCGCTGAAGCTACCTGAAAATTTGCTCGGTAAATCAGTGTAAGCCTTACTCAAAAGCATTCAATAAAAAATAAATAAAAAATCAATTAAGGACCTAAAAAATTATTAAATGTTTATCTCTACCTTCTACAAAATTAGAATTTTTTTTACTTTGTGTTCTAAACACCTAACTCGCCTCTCGACTCGTTACCTTTCACAAAATCATGAATTATTGTTAAAATAATTCAAAGTCGTAATAATAATATAAAAATAATACATAAACATCAATTGAAAATCAAAACATAATAATTTAATTAAGTTTCAAAACTATGTTACAATAGTTCGTCCCAACAATCATATTAGTTACATATGATGGGGATAGAAAAATACAAGATAGATTTGGAGTACATCACTGAGTTTAAATGGAAAGGGGGAAGAAATAAAGATCTTACACCAAAAAATCATTCTTTTTGTGAAAACATTGAAACCCTAGCTTCGTAATTGTTCCTCGATTTTTCTCTCTAATCTTTTATTTGAAAAACTTCTCCTTCCCTTAATTTGATCTTAACGATGCACTTATATAATGGTAGGACTGCCTCGAGAATTATACCTAGAAAAAGAGTCAAAACGAGTCAAGTTGAAAAAATAATAAAAAGAATAATGCTATTTAATTTTATCGGGGTTGCAACCTCGATTTAGGTGACATTAAATGATAAACTAAATGAAAAACAACAAAATACATTAAGTGGAGCTAAATAGTATTATTCTAATAAAAAACAACAAAATACACCGAAAGCAAAATGACAACAATTTGCTTGCCTCGGTCATCCGCGACAAATAGAGACAAGTGAATTAATCTCCTTTTTCCGGGTTCATATAATTTCTTTTCTATTTTTTTCCACTTGTCTTTCTTTTTCTTTTCCCTTTTTTCCCCTTTCAACCTTTTAACATTAAATCTCACACCAAGTCCTTGAACGTTTCATCTTAATAGCTTCGTCCCTCCAACTTTTCATCTCACAATTTTGGTCCTTGCCCTTTTAAATATGTCCAAGTCAGTCCCCACAAGTTTTGTATATTTCACTTTGGTCCCTATTCAACTTTTTCACTCAATTTCGATCCTTTTATCCAAATTGATCCTACAAGTTCCAAAAGCTATCATATTAGTCCCCGAACTTTAATATCATTCGAAATTGGTCCTCTACAGGTTCTGTAAAATGAATGTCCTAACTTTCTAAATATTGAATTTCACTCCCTAAATTTGTAAATTTCTAGACTGATATCTTAATGTCAATCCAATTAACAATTAATTATTCCAAATCAACTCCATATTTACTCAGAAACCTTCTTCTTCATTTTTTTTTTAAAACATCCAAATCCAAATTGTATCTCTAATTATCATATTTACGCTAAATTATGTATAAACCTACTCAATTAGCAATTATTTATCAAGTTTCATAGTACGGATAAGTGTGTAATGTACACTTACGAATATGTGATGAATTTGGAGGGAGAACATATACCATATTATACATGCAACAAATTCACATATTATGAAATAATGCTTTATCCAATTCATGATCATCGGCATGGATCTCAATATCCTTGCGAATCATATGTCATGAACGAGAGCAATAGCCGTCTTCAACAAAAAAAGAAAGACACCCTTGATTATATTTCGTATTTGAACAAGTTTAGTATTGAGCATAAAACACTATTTGAATGTACTCATCAACTTAGGAGAAGCAATCAAAACCACCAAACAAAGGGCATTCTCCAAAAGACAAGTACAAAAATCGAATTTTGACTTTAGTTCGTATTTGAAATGCAGTACTAGAGTGTATTAACATTAGAATAAACAAGATATTTCAAGTTCTTTTTATACTACTTAATCCACGTTTCGAATTTGAGTATTATTGACCAAAATTACAGTAATCACCGATTGCAACTTAAAAAGAAAATGCACTCACAAATACATATCTAAGATCATAATAACAATTACGGAAGAAAATTAAAGTTAAAAATAATGGATTTGAACTTCTGCGCGTAAATTTAATTGACTTCCATTTTTTATTTTTATTTTTGTTATAGCCGTTAAGTGTGGGGTACTTTTAAGTATAGCTTTGTCAAACCAACCATTTTCCATTTTAACCATAAAAATCTAACATTCACCACAATAGCCATTTCTTGTGTAAAAGACTAAAACGCCCTTAAATGAGTTATATAATTACAAAAATAGAAATATGGTAAAAAGACAAAAATATCCTTAAGTTACAAATAAAAATCCAAACAAGGCTCAATTGAAATTTGAAAACGAAGTCAGTCTTTTCATCAGTTTACTCTAACACGATAAAAACTCTTCCATTTTTCATCCACTTCAACCTCAAAATTTCATAAACTTATCAGTTATCAACCTCAACAGAAAAATTTAGTTAAATTTCAGCACTTCAATTTGGTAAGTATCTTTTCGTAGTATTTAATTTTATTTTTATTGAAGTCGTAAATTTTTTTTTAAATGGTAGAAAAAATAATATTAGAGTCAAAGTTCAGGCCGGCACCGATCAGACGTCGGAACGACGGATTTAACGACGGTCCGGACCGTCCGGACCGTCCACAACACCGGACCATCCGGACCGTCCGCAACGGACGGTCCGGACCCGTTGCCGACGGTCCGGACCATCCGTTTGCAGACTCCCCTGCCCCTCGATTCTGATAATTTTTTTCTGATAATTTATTCTGATATTTTTAATTCATAATGCAGATATGGCAAAAGCGTGTGTCCCAATCTGTTATTTCGGCGAATTTCAAAGGAAAGAAAATGGTCAATGGGAATGGAAATGGACGAGTGAAGGAGAAGGGGTTGCTGCTATTACGATAACAAAAAATACTTCGTTTACAGAAATGTACAGTGAAATACAAAACATGCTTAACGTCGATTCCTCTCAGTACGATATGGAATTGGGATTTTTATTTCAAAAGCATTCAGCAATTTCGATTCCACCTTTGAAAGTTACTTTTGAAGTGCAAATAAAGCATCTAATTCAATTGAACCATGGTCGAAAGACGACTTCTATTTGTGTAACTTTGTTGAAGAATAATATCCCCGAGGGTAGAAGTTTTCGATGGAGAGGATCGTGACGAGAATGATTTTTGGGATACTGTTGAGATTGCTCGTGATGATGATGTGGTTATTCTTGGGAGAGTTGCTACTCACCATGATGTTACCGTTACACAAAGGATTTACGAGGAAATTCAAGACAATGAGGATGAAAGGTCATTTACAAATTAGGATTTGATTGCTTTATCTAGACAGAGACATGAGTCTGGTGGGAGTTCACATGCTGGGCCGAGTACACGGTCTTCTAATTGTTCGTGTGTAGTTCCTGATGATGAAGATTTACGTGTCGATCAATTGTTTGACACGAAAAGAGATTTGCAAGAAGTTGTGCACCTAATTGCAATGAAACATAATTTTGAGTTTAAGATAAAAAAATCAAACAAGTCTACACACACAATTATTTGTGTGGTTAGCAATTGCAGTTGGCGTTTGAGAGCGACAAAGATGGACACAAATGAGTTATTTGTAGCTCGCAAGTATGCACGGGAACATACTTATGAAGTGGGTATTCGTCAAAATGATCACAGGCAAGGTCGATCATGGTTTATTGGTCGACAGATAATACACAAGTTTCAGGACCCATTGACGATTTACAGACCTACAGATATCATCAACGACATCCGTCGGGAGTATGGGGTGGTTATGAGTTACCAGATCGCCAAATTGGCTAGGTATTGCCACAATATGGTGAGAACTAATTCTGACTCGGCGTTTTTTATTGAAACCGATGGGCAAAATCGCTTCAAGTATTTTTTTGGCTCTTGGACAATGCATTAGAGGTTTTCAAAATGCGATGCAACCTCTAATTCTAGCTGATAGTACAGCCCTAAAAGCTAGATATGAAGGGAAGTTGATTATTGCTACATGTCAAGATGTCAACATCCAAATTTAGCCTCTTGCATTTAGCATTGTCGATGGAGAGACTGATCTAGCAATGCCTAGGTTCTTCACAAAGCTGAGAGAAGTAATTGGGGACATTGAGAACCTTGCATTTGTGACTGATCGGGGGCAGTCAATAATAAATGGTATAGCCGAAGTTTTTCCAGAAGCACATCATGGTTATTGCATGTACCACATTCAGGGCAATCTGAAGACTAGGTACCGGGGCAGTGGCATCGTTGCATTGTTTAGAAGAGCTGCAGAAGCTTACAGCTTTGAAGAGTTTACAAAGTTCATGGGCGAAATAGAACATAAATCAGAAAGTGCATGGGAATATCTATCAGAAATGGGGGTCGAACATTGGGCACGGTCACATTTTTCAGGACGTCGATACAACATGATGATGTCGAATAATGCAGAGTCGCTCAATGCATTGTTTAAGAAGGATCGAGAGTTACCAATTCTCGTAATGATTGAGAATATTTGTAACAAGCTGCAACAGTGGTTTCATAACCGACGTGCGGCATCACAGAATTGCACCAGTGTGCTAACCCCAGCTCAAGAGAATAAATGCTTCAAGGCTGCGGATGTTGCGAGAAAGTTGAATGTGGAAGCATTTGATGAGTTTCGCTTCTCCGTGCAATGTGCACGTAATATGACATACATAGTTGATTTGACTGATAACACATGCACTTGTACAAGATTTCAGTTGGAGAGTTTTTCATGTTAGCATGCAGTCGCAGTGGCCATGTATCGAGACTTTGCAGCGAGAACATTAGTTATTTGTACTACACGGCTAAGTCGTGGAGAGCAGCATATGCTGAGACTATATTTCCACTGCCGAATGAATCTGAGTGGGAAGTCCTGACCATACTCTCCTGTTCAATAGTTTGTTGCCACCAGCAGTTGAACTGCGTGGTCCTAGACGTTAAGTACATCTAGAATACCATCTATCGGAGAGTTTCCTCGACCGCGTAGGTGCGGCAGGTGCAGAGTCATAGGGCATACTCGCCAATTTTGTACTAGTCAAATTTCCCTAAATGACAATTAGACTAATGTGTTCAATGTGTAATATTTTCATTTACTTTTACATTGTTCAATGTTTATTCAAGATCATAAATAATTACGAAGAACAGTTACAAATAACTAATTACAAAAAAGTTTTACAAAGATTAATTACAAAAAAAATATTTACAAATAATCTTTGGATCACAATTAAATTCGAATAAGTCGCACGCTAACTTATTCCGCCAATTCTGTATCCATAACTGGTTGAATCCATCAACCTTATGTGCTATACTCAAAAATTCTATGTACTTGATTACGAAAATGTCATAGTCGACCCTACAAATGAACAATATTGTGTTAGCTTGGTTCAAATTTAATTTTAAAAAAAGATTACAAACACTTACGATATAGACTGCCTAGCCGTCGTCTTATCCCGAATGATGGCTAGTCTGTCCTGTATAGTCAAGCTCGCCCGTCTAGCCATCATAGGAACGATCACAGTCACCGGCTCTAAGTCCTGCTCGATTTGCCCCTGCGTCAGACATGAATGATCGGGGTCATATACATATATTTTCGACTCAGGGAACACAATCTTTAGTGCATTGCAGTGACGATTGATGATCACTGGAATGTACGTATGCGTACAGCCCTCCACGGCTTTTCCCCAACAGTCGGTGACAACCCGATGACCCACTCGAGCATATCTGCGGGCAGCACGTACTCGTTACCCATAAGCTTGAGCGACTGATACTCAATGGTAACGGCACGGAAGAACTCGGTGTTCAGTATTATTCGGCCAGGCTTGTAGAATGATTGTGGATATCTCTCAACTCGATCGCACAACAAGTCCATGGCCATGTCGATGTGCTACATAAACGAAAAAGAAATAAATAACTATTTCATTTAACAAATTAAACGTAATGTGTACAAACAGTAGCAATAACACTTCACTTACATTTTCGGCGAGCTAAGCCCCCTGAGTGGTGATATTATGGAACCACTTGTATGCGTTCGATATCGTTCTTCTGGTGCCAGTCATGCGTGCAAAGAAATCATCTGAATGACGGGTCTGACTGGGTGTAGGCGATCCATGTGGGAGGTGGGTGGGTACGGGAGACGGAGATATCCTCGGAGAATGAGATAATGGCGGTAGAGGCGATCTCATCGGTGGAGGTGACGGAGATCTCATCGGTGGAGGCGAAGGAGATCTCCTAAGTGGAAGTTCCGGATGGCGCTCCTACACAGAGAAGACAATTAATATTAATAATCCGCACATGAATTTATAAGTCAAAATAAATAATGAACTTAAATAAACGTACTATATTTCTATCCGGAACGGACTCAAATACTGGATCGTCTTCAGTAGGGGGAACAAGTAATTCACGTACATATATTGCATCCTCCTCTTCCACCGAGACAACCAACTCAGCATGAACTTCGAGCTGACATACCATATTTCAACGTGTTAACGAACGTGCATCGACCCGAGTAAATGTATGCACAATATAAATTGCAAATATATAATACTCACCTGAGGATCGTCGAGGATAACTATCAAATCTTTAGCCGATGGCTTTTCATGTGCTCGCCAATGAAGCATTCGTGGGCAGCTAGTCTCCCTTCTGATCGCCCATTTGCTACCCAAAGCAGGGATAGCCTCATATGCCCACAGCTGCAAAATTACAAAATAAAACTTTACATATATATTTAATAAAAAGTTCAACACGCATTACGTTACACTGAATATTTACCTGCAAAGCCATGCAAAAGCCATATACATCGTATTTGCGATCGCCCCTCTCCGATTTCGGCATAATGTGTACCCTTCTGAATACATGGAGAGTATCGGTGTAACATCTCTGACC